GAATGCCGAGCGTGACCTGCGGAGCCGCTCGGGTCAGGCCCTGGGGTCGAAGGGCACCAAGGGGAGTGCAGGCGTTCGACCGGCTGCCGCCACCTGGAAGTGAGGTGATATTTGCTGACTCTCAATGACTTCCTGTACATTATTACAGGTTCCAACAGTGGAGCACAGGGGGATAAAAAAAGACTATTTTTAGCCTAACTATTGGATGGAGGACTGCTCCCTGTCTCCACATTTCAATGACAGAGTTCACAGGGGGCGACAACTCTACTGCTGGAGGGGAGGTCGTATTTGGAGAGTTTAAAGGCCGGAATTTGTCGCCGTTTGTATGAATGAGTAACTAAAAATGCAGACGTTATGCTGACCATGGTATATTGGTGGGGTTAATGTCTCAACAACAGAGCAACAGCGGCTCCCACCTCAGCCTGAGCTCCCTGTGAAGATAAGGACAACCATTCCAAAAAACTTACACGTTGGTAGAGGAAATTCAAAAAGAACACTCTCCTTTGATGAAAGCTGCAGTCAGTAAAAAGGGAACCACACAAATGAAAAGAAAGGTGCCTGTTGTATACATCAGTGGGATTAAAATCCGACGTGAACAAGGAGGATTGCAACAACCTGAACTATGCATGATTACTAGAGCCACCACACAGGTGCAAAAAGAAGGAGCTCTGTGAGATGAAGTGGTTTGTAAAAGAAGGTAGAGGAACAAGAGATCTAACAAAGGGTATAAAGATATAATATACTGAGAGTTAATAGTACTTAATGTGTATAGACCCCTAGATAGAATTTAATAATGTTTTTATAGGTTTATTATCAGTATGCATTTACAGGGTGGGTTTCATTAAGGTTGTATTCAGTGCTGAACCCTATTGCACTTTATTTTTGCTTGAATGTTAAATAGATATGTTGCATTTTGAGTTGGACCACTGACGTCCTATCTGCTGGACATTTAAAATTTTAATATGTGTTGAGGATGAATGCATTCTTAGCTGTCAGCTGTTAATTTGTGGTTACTACTGAAACGTTGAAACACTGATGATGAGTAGACAGCTGCTTTTTTGATACACTGAAGTAGGGCTTAGGTATTTTAGTTCGCAGCACACATCGTGGGGTTTTAAAGCAAAGTTATGTAATTTCACAAGATACATGCAGCTTTAACTTTTAGAGCCAATTGGAATGAATGTATCACTTAAAGGGACAGTTCACCCCCAAATCAAAAATACATATTTTTCCTCTTACTTAGATTGTTTTGTTGTGAGGTATCAGCCGTAGAGATGTCTTTCATCTCTCTAATATCATGGGACTAGATGACGCCGCCAAAAAATTACACTTGAAAAGCTCATCAGAAAAGTCTCTCTGGAAATCATGAGCTAGTTACTCAAGATAATCCACAGACCTTGTTGTGAGCAGTTTCATGTAGGAACTATTTTCTTTCAACTGAACTACACCCACTGACTGAATCACTGCGCAGAAGGAAGCGTGCATCTACTGCCAGCTCATGTAGCACCACTGAGCTAGCTAACGTTAAAGCTCAACCGATGCCTAGACTAGAAGCTGTAGAATGAAAATTTCATTGTCATGTAGGAAGTATTTTCTTTCTACCATATGATGTTTAGCATGCATCTACTAATGGACAGAGTGTCATAACAGCACAAGATTAATGGCATCTTCCTCTGCTAAGCTGTAATGTTAGCTAGCTCAGTGGTGCTAGGTGAGCTAGCAGTAGATGCACACTTCCTTCTGGGCAGTGATACAGTTGTGGGATGTAGTTTGGTAAAAAAAAAGAAAAGAGTTCCTACATGAAACTGCTCACAACAAGGTCTGTGGGTTCTCTTGAGTAACCAGGTCATGATTTCTGGAAAGAGACATTGCTGTTGAGCTTTTCAAATGTAATTCTTGGCACTTTGAGCACCACAAGACAAGTTACAGCCGATATCTCCAACATTCAGCAACTCACACAATCTAGATTGATAAATAGCACAGTTAAGAGAACAATATGTTTTTTGATTTTGAGATTAACTGTCTCCTTTCATCAGTATGCTCCCCCATCATTCAAGTTCATTATCAAGATTATCATCATAATCCCTTTATTTACTCTGAAACAAGGGGTGTCTTCTGTCAATGGATGAAGGAAAGGTGGTAAAATGGTTCCAGAGAAAGCGCCTCTGTAATCAAATTGTGATTAAATCAAGCTGTTGATGCCGACTCTGATATAGAAACCCGTTTGGTGCTTTGTGAAATTGAATTGCTGACTCTCACTGAAGGGAAATTCTCCAGTGATTATGTAACAAGCTTCTTTATTTGCTTTCTTTACAACATAAAATTAAATTTTAACCAATTTAAATAACAGAACTGAAGATTTTTTTTTATTTCTTGTCACCTGCTGTGGTAAGGGGCCCTCTAGCCTTTGATTAATCTAATCTGTGTGGAGTTTAGATTAATCAGAGGTCAATCCTTTAAAAGCCAAATGACCTTTATGTGCTTGCTGTCCGGTAAAGTAAGCCTCTGCATGGCAAGGTCCTTGACCTTGAAAGTTTGACACTCCCCCTCCTCCACCTTGTTGTTTCCTCCTGGAGCTGGTTACCACACAGAATATCAGGTGTGTAAGCCATAGAGGTTTTTGGCATGTGATCTCTAACCAAACTTCCCCTAACCATCTGATCCGTATGTGTCATCGTTTGGCAGGAGGACGCACACGTCCTCCTGTGCTAGAGACCAAATTTATTAAGAGACGTACTCAACTCTGAGGTGTGTCAGGAACTGTGTCGACACTGCTGGTTTTCTTTAATGTGGTTATAAAGTGTGAAGCTTATGTTGTGTACATGCTGTTTTTAGCAGTACTGATATCTCTGTGTATGCATTGTTTACTTTTAGTTCTCATCTTTCTTTCAATAAAATATCCATATTGGTGCTGCCTTGACAATAAATGATATTCATTTTAAAGTGGAAAAATGTGTTTTTGTGATTTGGGTGAGCTGGCTGTTTAGAATTATACAGTAATGTGTTAGTTTACAGCATTTTTAAAGTATAATTTTTCTATTTTATGGACACACATTTACGAAACCTGCACGTGAGAAAGCAAAAATAGCAATATGCTGCAGAAAGTGTTTGTTACAGCACTCTGTGTTAAATTTATCTCTATTCAGATTACAGGATTAGTTTATGGCTTCTGCTTGAGTAAAGACGCTATATTTGTAGTGGAGGCGGTTCATTGTGAGAAACACAAGACGGATTTAACTCTGTTTCTGTGAAGGCCGCTGTGTCTGAATTTGTGTTTACATATTGTTATGCTTGTTATGTTTGCATAGGGAAGCATGTTATCTTTACAACACCACTTTAGTATTTTACATGCCTCAGTTACTTTATTGTTAAACTTTTTTATGACCAGTGACATAGATAACCTCCTGAATTTATGAACTTGGTTGCCATAGATATTTGGTATGTTTAAAATTTTAATTAAGATTGGATTAGCTTCTCCGAGGCCTCCAGAGTTTCAGCAGGTCTGCGGTAATAGGTTTGTTCTCTAAATTTATTAATATCCATCACTATACATTAGCACGACATCACCTAGAATAGTAGGAGCCTAACTTTTATGGAGCTTAAGAGAACTCAAAGTGATCCACATTTTGCTGACAGACTCCTGTACGCCTCTCGAGGGCCCCTGGAGGGCCCCCGGCTTCACAGTGGGTACCAAAGCTCAGGGTGCCTCAGGATAAAGTAACCAGAAAAACTTTTCAAGGGATGTGACGTCAGAGAGCCGCGCCTCTCCATAGTTTGCATAAAGCTAACCAGTCTTAAATAGCTCGGGAGCGGAAGTTAGGAGATTTCAAAATAAAGTGTTATTTCCTGACACTTTCCTTTTTAGCATCATGGAACAGCTGTAGGTGCCCCTAATGCTTAAACAAACTTAATCTAATTTCTAGGCACTTGGAATGAGTTTGGTGTTATATATAGGCAACATCTGTTATATTTGTCATCTTGTCTTAAAGTTTAGAATACTTTAATTTCCATGTATGTATTGTTACTTGTGTACCTTGCAAAAGTGGAAGGTTATATAGCTAGCTATATCCCAGTTTATCATATAATTGGTAGGGCTGCAGCTATATTTATGTTTGGTACTGATTAATCTGCAGATTATTTGTTTGAGTAATTGTTTGGTCTTCAAAAGACAACAATCAAAAAAAGTCTGTTGCAGTATCCTAAACCCTAAAGTGACTTCATTAAATGTCTTGTTTTGTCAAATTAACATTTCCAAATCCCAAAACATTAAATTTAGTACAAAATTCTGATTCAGACAACTTAATTAATCACACCAGGGGCAATTTGATTGAACAGCTTGCCACATGACATACAGTAACATGTAGACATATGAAAAAATGAGCAATAAAATAAAAAGACAAATAAAAAATAAACCAAGAACTTCAGTTGAAAAAAACAATCTATACATAATAAAAGATAATAGATTATCATAAAAGACCAAGGAGAGCAGCAAATCATCACATTTGACAACCTGAAAATATCACATTTTTGTAATTTCTGCTTCAAAAATTGAATTAAACAATAATTTCCTGTCCTGAGTGACTTATTGTTGCAGCACTAATTATTATTATTATTGACACATTTCTTTGTTAGTAGCATTTTAGTGCTGTGGCCAGTCAAGTTGGAGCTATTTTTATACTGTGCTTTATACACTCTTAGATAGTTTGATCTGTATCAGTGCATCATATTTTATAGAGGAATCATATGTTTTAAATGTAAAGCAGTCAAAAATGTGGAGTAAAGTACAAACTTTCCTTCTGAAATGTAATGAAGTAGGGGGTAAACGTAGTATAGAATAGAAATACTCAAATAAAGTATAATTATGTCGAAAAAGAAGGTCAGATATTCTTGTTTAACACATATATGTATTTTCTTTCAACCCTTGGTACTGTCGCAGTCACTGCTGCTCTTATTTTGAAATCCCTGACCGGAAGTGATGTACCGTACTTTTGCTAGCTGACGGTTGTGTCAGTCAGTCGATCGATGGTGCCGCTGCTGAGCAGAACAACGGGCGAAAAGATTTGTAAATTGGCACCACGGAGAGAATTAACTCTTGAATTAAACCTAAACCGTCAGGAGGAATAAACTTGTGCCAGGTAAGCTCATACTAAGACTTTTACGTCGGACATTTTAACTTTTTTACTGAAGGGGCTGTGGCTAATTCGCTAACATTTGAGCTAGGGGGCTAACGTTAAAGTTAAGTTACTTCCCGATGGGAGGAGGTTGGTACCGTGGTTATAAATACATAAAATGATTTAACTTAGTTACAGCTAAAATAATGGTGCTTCAGAGAGTTTGGGTGTGTATTAATATATTAAGTTTAACTAGTTTACCTATCTGTGAGACGGTTGCAGTAACTATTATTTCAGGGTATCGAAAGTCCAACGACTTAACGTCAAGCTAGCATCGTTAAGTGGTTGCCAGTGAACAAAATGTCGCTGTAATCAATGTCATACTTTTTCATTTTATGAACTGGGTTAATTCATATAGTTGCCTCAAGATGTTTAACCCCAGCTGTGTAGTTTTCACAGGGACAGACTAGTGTTTCGTTGCCTGTAGTGATAAAGGGCGGGGCTGGTTTCGCAAGTAAAGATAACCCCTGGTCCATGTCATATCATCCTGCATGGTATACTTACAACATTTCATAATTTCGGTCATATTCTTTGGAAGACATGGCTCAGCTCCTGCAGGCTCCCTGTTTCCCATGCCCTGTCCTCAGTCTAATCTAGGCAGTGTTTTAAATTGCGCAGTGCCAGCAGTTCAGTCCTGACTCCTTTACTGTACATTTAACCCAAGTTATAAGCACAGAAAGACATGTTAGGTTTCTTAATAGAGTCAAGGCGTTAGTGGGTTTAATATTAGGATCATCTACAGTACAGTCTTTGGTAACACGAGGTTATTAATCACGTGAAGCAGGGAACAGGGAACCTTTCCTCTGAGCATGACACAGCCAATACTCATGATCTTGTAATGAATCAGTGGAAGTTATCAGTCATCAGCCATGCAGCTTGAGCATTTAGACAAATCTAGCGAAAAAAGTACAGGTTTTAATGTGTGTAAGTGTATGTATGTGGTTTGTGTTTGTGGGGGGAGTGGTGTTGCCAGGGCAAAGCAGTAGTGAAAGCTATGTGGTTCCTTATTTCTGGGGGACATGTGAACTGATTGCTTCGTCACAGAACTGAGCTAAACTTAGACTGGGTACTCCAATTTGGGCTGAAGGCACTGCTCTCCATTTATGTTCTCCAAGAGCACACATGAAGCAGTTAAAGGGATATAAGCTATTGTCTAGCAGAATTTAATCATGTAATTCAATGAGCCTGTCAGTATGAGTGAACAACTATGTGCAGCAAAGCTAGAAAGCAAGAAAGTGGAAAGACTGTTTCATACACTAGGTAAATCACAGATCTGATTCCTGAAAACTGCTAAATGTGCCATTATACCTGATAAAGTTAGTGTTGTTATCTATTGGTGGATCAACAGAAAGTTAAACTGCAAATGTTTTAATAATTGATTGAATGTTAGTGTTATTTTTCAAGTAAAAATGGCAAATAATCACTGTGAATATTTACTGGTTTTCTTAGCTGTTAATGATGAAACTAGTATCTTTAAGTTTGAATTATTTGTCAGACAAGACAAATAATATGAAAGTCAGCTTGAACCTATTGGATTGTAATGGGTTTTGTTATTTTCTCAACTTTTATAGACCAAATGATTGATTTATCTAGAAAATTGGGGTTAAAACTATTAGTCAAGAGGCAGAAATTGATTTGCAATCTATTGGCCATCCTCCTAAATGTGAGCATATTTAGCTTGTCCTGGTTTTATATCATTATAATCTGCATATCTTAGGGTTTTGGAACTGTTAATCAGACAAAGCAAGATATTTCAAGATGTCACCTTGGGTTTAAGAAATTATAATGGCTTTTTTCCACAGAAAATAAGTGCCAGAATAATTGATAATGAATAGCAGTTAGTTGCATCCCTCATTCACAGTCCCTCCGGCCATTATAAGTACAGTAAAGTAGCTCTTCTGTGGTCTCTGTGTTTCTGGGGAAATTGCTGAATGCCCACATACATTATAGAAGATGCCATAAAAGGTCACAGGCTTTGCATATGACTTTTGTTCATGGCGCTTTCCTGAAAAGTCTGCAGCTCTAAATGCATCACATGAGACCCTGCGTGCAGGACAGGGGCTTCCACAGGAAAAAGTGCAGAATTTGCATGTCAGTGACGTCAGGATCTCCCCTTCCCTGTCATGTAATACTGAATTTCCCTCCATTATGTCCCTCTCTATGCTGCTGGCGTGTTCACTGGAAAATGCTTGAAAGTGTGGAACAAACGCCATTGTTTTTCCCTGACCGTGGAGCAAGGGGTTTTTGAGCAGGCGGACCGGTCAGTTATGTTGAGGCTACAGTTGACCCGGTGTTGACGGACCAACGGTTTCATTGTCTGGTGTTTGTGGAGCCTCTTAACCACAGTACGAAGCTCTGTCACTGATCTCTATAAAGGCTTGGATCGGTGGGAGTGAGTAATCGAGAGGCTCCACATTGGAAAGGCCGTACTCCTATGAGATCAGCAGTCCCGTGCAGCTGTTGGGCTCACATGAGGAAGAAGGGCAGAGGTGAATGACTGACAGGGAAAGAAAATCAAGTTCATGACCTGCGATTGCCATGGAAACTTTTGACCTTCTAGTTTATGTGTGAGTGTGTTATAAGAGAGAGAAAAAAGCAAAGGAATGATTGTATTTTTTCTCTCATAGCTCAGTCGGGATTTAGCAATGTCCTGCTGTGAAACTGCAATATTGAAAGGATAGATCAGCTCAGCTGCAGTCCTGGCTTGTGAGATATTGCAGGCGTTTTATGCAACAAAGGAAGGAAATGGAAACTGACAGATAAGCAGTTCTCATGTGATTAAGACATTGAGGCTTTGGCACAGGAGAGCGCGAACTTAGAGTATTTTTTTAAGCTTGCGTATTATGTAATCACAATCTCCTCATTCAGTCCCCTTGATTAACATTTGTTCTCATGATTTAAGGGAGTTGAGTGTTACTGTAACAGTAATTGTCAGTAGAGCTACAACTATCAGTTATTATCATTATTTCCTGGATTAATTGTGCGTTGCATAAAATCAGAAAGTGCTTAGTCAATTGATAAGTTGACAATAAAACTACAGATATTTTAATAATAAACCAATTGTTTAAGTAGATTTCAAGTAAAAATGACAAGTAATCTCTGGTTGCAGCCTCTCCAATCTGAAGTTTTACTGGTCTTCTTTGATTTATATAATTGTAATCTGAATATCTTCGGGTTTTGAACTGTTGATTGGACAAAACGACATTTTAAGACTTCAACAAGGAAAATGTAATGGGCTTTTTTACTATTTGTTAATATTAGAGCTGCAACGACTAGTTGATTTATCGATAAGTTGTTGGAAAGGAACCGAATCACCAACTATTTTGACAATTGTTTAATAGTTTTAGTTATTTTTCAAGTAAAAATGTCAAACAGTTGCTGGTTCCAGCTTCTTAAATGTGAAAACTTGCTCATTTTCTTTGTCATTTATAACAGTAAATGAAGAGTCCTGAGGTTTTGGACTGTTGGTTAGACAAAATAGGCAATTTTCATTCACCACTTTGGGCTCTGGGAAGTTGTGATGAGCATTTTTCAAATATTTTTTGACATTTTATAGACTAAACTAATCTTGAATCATGACTAATCAGTAATGAAAATAATCATTAGATGTAGCCAATTTTATAGACCAAACAACTGATAGAGTAAATGGTCTGCAGATTAATTGTTAATTAAAACAACAACAATCAACAATCATCAGCTGCTGCAGCCGTGATTCACTTTACTGTGATGTAAGAAATGCAGCAAACTCACATTTGAGCAACCAGAACAAGGACATTTTTGGTATTGTTGCTTGAAAAATTACTTAAACGATGAATCAATAATGAAAAACGTTCCAAATCATTTGTCAATGTTTTCAATGTTTTTTCTTTGACCATGACAACAGCTGGAAATAACAGGACTTGGTCAAAGTAGGCCTTAGTCATGTATTCTCATATAGACCAAACCTGTAAGCACTGTTGGTCCCTACTTACACTGACATTTATACAAACAAGGCTGGGTGGTCTCAATATTTTGCAGGAAACTGAAAATGACACAGCAGCCCTCAGGATAACTCCACTTACTGTGCACACATTTCCTCTCTGCAGCAGTTCCTGATTAGTAGGCTGGTCACACTGAGGCAGAATGAAACGTAGAGATTACGTGACATTAATCTGCAGATGTCCTTGCTGTACTCTTGTTGATAAGCAGTTGTTCTGACGTGACCTAACTCAATCATCAAAATATCACAAGCGGTCAAATGTGATATAAACAAAAGGTTATTTTTGAAGTCTGTGTGCAGTCTGTGACCAAATACAGGTTGGTCACAGGTTGGTTTCCTGGAGCTCTGGTTATATTTTTCACCCACTAACATAAACACACACAGCTTCAGGGCAGGTATGCACGTGCCAGTCAGTTGTGTATGCGCCCATCTCTGCTGTCTGTGTATCCTGTGATTTCCTGCTCCTCACCTCCATTCATGACACTGTCTCTGTGTGACAAGCCCCAGAGCGCTTTGAGAAACATAAACATGGCAGGAATAGACAGTCTGCTTGTGGTTCGTGGCAAAGAATATGCTCTGGGGGCCTATTTGGCATATTTGGTTGCGTCTTTTTCATCTCCTTTTCCCCTCCCTGCACTGGCTGTAAAGGTCATGGCATTGTGTCCATTTCCGACAGCACTGTAAGCTTTCGTGTGCTTTAAATAACACGCATGGTCATCCTTGCTTTTGCTGTCTCACTGTCAGCCTCAGCTGGTCACACGCAGCTGTCCATCTGCATTCACAAATCAACAAATTACCCATATTTGTCAACCCTGCATCTACTTTCAAACAGCCACGTCAGCCTCATCTGTCTACATTTGGATTACAAATTGGTTAAAAATGAGTAGTGACAGTGTGGGAACTCGCTTAGCATGCCAAGGTTTAGTTTAGCCACAGTAGCATTGAGGAATGCATTTGTTCACTTCTATCTTAAGGCTGTCGTCAG